GGGGGGCGGGGGAGAGAGAGAAATGTCACCTGCGAAGTTCCTCAGTAAGAACATTTTCTAACTCCAAAGTCAGTGTGTTCTTCCTATTATTCAGCAGGAGTTTATCCCTACTCGTGGTTAGCTAATTTCCTAAAAAAATAAACTCCAAGGGGGCCACAGCCAATACCATCTCTAAGATTTTCGGATTGTTTTGTTTTCACCCTAAAGAGCGTAGGTATCAATTTTCCTGCAGGTGGTTCCTGAAACCATAACAAAGTCTTTTTGGGCCTTGTTATTAAAATTCAGAACAAACAAATGAAGAAGAATAATGGTAAAGCGAAACCAATACGCTCTGAATATGGCTTAAGGACTCTCTGGTTTCATTTCCTCAGACTGAATTTCCCCATTTCTGAGAGTCTCCAGGCCCCCTGAGTGGACGGCCTGAAGCCCTCCCCCACTCCTGAATTCCTAGAATTGATTACCCCCAATTCCAATAGAATACACATGCATGCTGGTTATTTGCTCCTTTTTTTTTTTTCTTTCTTTTTAACTTAAAAATGAATGTCAGCAAAGGTGGCCCGGGAGCCGAGGCAGGTCTGAAATGCAAACCCATGGGCCTGCACCATCATTAAAATACATTCTCATCGGGAAGAAGGCAGTTGAGGTCTGAGCCCTTCAGCTAAAGGGCTTCTATGGAAATGTGTCAGGAGCGAGAGGCTGAAAAGTTCAGCCGGCCACGTGGTGTGCAGCATTCTGTTCTCAAGTCACAGTTAAAATCCAGTTGTCTAAAGTTGATTCAATTCAATAGAGTGAGACTTCTCAAGCAGTCGCAGCCATGCGACCCCATTATTCTTCCCCAGCAAAGTGGCCATGCCAGGTTTGGAAACTTTTGAACTGTGTCCTCAATACTCAAAATCCAATTTCCCAGGCTTTTTCTCTGAAAAAAAAAAAAAAAAGAAAAGAAACAAAAAAAGTCTAGAAACAAAGGGCTACACATGGTAAAGCCAAAGGATGTGTTTCTTTCTTTTATTTTCTTCCCTTTAAAATAGCAAATAGCTTTTTTAAAAAGAAGTTTTTAAAAATTGCAGAGTGTAAACTTTACTTTTTAATCGACTTAGGAACTGCAAGAACCGTGATTACTCATTGAGCAGACGTAACCAGAGGTTATGGGATTGGGGTGCCCTCCTGCCCACACTAACATGCCTTTCATCCAACTTTTACTTTGCTTTTTTTGACTTGTCTTCACAGCTTTGATTTCTAACGAATGGGGTGCAAAGTGGTGAGCACGTCACCGCAGGTGCAAACATGCGGAACTCTGCAATCTTGCTTTCTCTCCTCTCTTGGTTTGAATGACACGGAGTTCCCTTCATTCTTCTCTATTCACCCATCTGATCTTCCTACTCCCATCTAATTTCCTTCCCTCTTACCTGTATCTTACACATCGTTGTGAGTTCTGCCCTGGATTGTCTCGTAACCTCCCAAGTTGAATCCACATGAGTCAACAATGTGTGTGGAGCCAACTGCTGTCTGGACAGCTCCACTTGGGTACACCAGGGACACCACAAATGCAGCTTCACAAATGGAAGCCTTCAGCCTTTCACCTACGCTGTAAAGTGTGAACAGACGTCCAGCAGTCATTCGTGTAGTATAAAGACAAGAAGCAATTTTTTGCCACCTTCACTGCTGAGACTTGACAGTCATTTTAGGGCAGCGTGGTGGGACTGCCCAGACATCATCATGTGAAGTTTCCATTGCTCCTTTTCCTAATGTGCTTAAATGATTCAGGTCATCCCTGCTGAGTTTTCACCCACAGGCTCTGCCTCAGTTACAGGTTCCTTTACCTGCTAGTGGACAAACATTGGACACCCCGGCATCTTCAAAAGTGAAACACTGAGAGTCCGACTCATTGTAGACATTTCTGTAGGTACTTTTTGCTCTGAATGCCAGAAAAATGCAATGCGAGTGGTTACGGTCATCTTTGAGAACCTGAGTCCAAATGTGCTCCTTTGTGACACCTCACTGATCTCTCCCAAGAAGTCTCTTGATTTCCAGGGTACCTTGGAACCCACAGGAGACATATCCAGACAATATCCCAGTTGTCTTCTATGGGAAGAAGTAGAGGCAGAGATCTGTGGTGTTACTAAGTGGGAGAAGTGAGATTCAAACGCACCTCGTTTTAGACCCCCAATTTCAGTAACTGCACTATAACTGCTTCTCCTAATATTTCCTCTTGTATCTTTTAAATTAACATATTTAACTCTACCCTTGCTGGTATCATTTAATTCCAAGACATCTATTTGTACCTAGATTGTAGAAATAGTTTCTCTTTTCTCACTATCTCTGATCTTGTCCTTTTTTTCCTATCTGTCTTCCCATTATCTTTCCTGAAATCTAATCATACCCCTTCTCTTTTATTATAGTGCTTTCCTAAAACTTGATGATTTTTTAATATTGAGGTAAAATCCATATAATATAAAATTAACCATGTAAAAGTGTACAGTCCAGTAGCCTTCAGCGTACTCACAACGATGCGTCACCATCACCTCTTTCTGGATCCAAAATACGTCCATCCACTCGACCCCAAAGCCCTCTACACCCGTTACCCATCCTTTCTCACTTTCTCTCCCCTTAGCTACTGGCACCGTTAATGTACCTTCTGTCTCTATGGATTTACCTATTCTGGATATTTCATATAAAAGGAATTATATGCAGGTCCACCTGGGCCAGATGCACCAGCGCAGACAGCCGGTGAGTGGTTGGCGGCCGGCCGGCCGTCCGACCTCCACAGTCGCCGCCCAGCCCGGACCCTCCTGGCCACCCCCCAACCTCACCTGGCCGCCATGCGCCTCCGCAGCCTAACCCTGGCAGGGGCGTGGCGCTGTTTCTCACCGGTCTCGCCGGTCTCGCTGCTGTCGCCGATGTGCCGGAACTCACGGAAGACAACTTCGAGAGTCGCGTCTCCGAGTCCGCGGGCCTCAGGCTGGTGGAGTTCTTTGCCCCCTGGTGTGGGACATTGCAAGACGCTTGCCCCTGGGTATGAAGCTGCAGCCACCAGATTAAAAGGAGTAGTTCCATTAGCTAAGGTTGATTGTACTGCTAACACAAACACTTGTAATAAGTACGGAGTCAGTGGATATCCAACCCTGAAGATATTCAGAGATGGTGAAGAAGCAGGTGCTTAGGATGAGCCTAGGACGGCAGATGGAATTGTCAGCCACCTAAAGAAGCAGGCAGGACCAGCTTCAGTTCCTCTCAAGACCGAGGAAGAATTTAAGAAATTCGTTAGTGATAAAGATGCCTCTGTAGTAAGTTTTTTCAAGGATTTATTCAGTGATGCACACTCTGAGTTCCTAAAAGCAGCCAGCAACTTGAGGGATAGTTACCGCTTTGCACACACCAGTGTTGAATCTCTGGTGAAGGAGTATGATGATGATGGAGAGGGTATCGTCTTATTTCGTCCTTCACATCTAATGAACAAATTTGAGGACAAGACTGTGGCCTATGCAGAACAGAAAATGACCAGTGGCAAGATTAAAAGGTTTATACAGGAAAACATTTTTGGTGTCTGCCCTCACATGACAGAAGACAATAAAGATTTGATACAGGGCAAGGACTTACCAATTGCTTACTGTGATGTAGACTATGAAAAGAAGGTTAAAGGTTCCAACTACTGGAGAAACAGAGTAATGATGGTGGCAAAGGAATTCCTGGGTGGTGGACACAAACTCAACTTTGCTGTAGCTAGCCATAAAACCCTTAGCCATGAGCTTTCTGACTTTGGCTTAGAAGGCACTGCTGGAGAGATTCCTGTTGTTGCTCTCAGAACTGCTAAAGGAGAGAAGTTTGTCATGCAGTGATGGAAAGGCTCTTGAGAGGTTCCTACAGGATTACTTTGATGGCAACCTGAAGAGATACCTAAAGTCTGAGCCTATCCCAGAGACCAATGATGGGCCTGTAAAGATAGTGGTAGCAGAGAATTTTGATGAAATAGTTAATAATGAAAATAAAGATGTGCTGATTGAACTTTATGCCCCTTGGTGTGGTCACTGTAAGAATCTGGAGCCCAAATATAAAGAACTAGGAGAAAGCTCAGCAAAGACCCAAATATTGTCATAGCCAAGATGGACACCACAGCCAGTGATGGGCCTTCTCCATGTGAAGTCAGAGGTTTTCCCACCATCTACTTCTCTCCAGCCAACCAGAAGCTAAATCCAAACACATATGGAGGTGGCCATGAATTGAACAATTTTGTTAGCTATCTAAA